CGAAATATAACAAAAATATCACATATTATGGTAAGTTAATTTGATTTTTTGTTATTAAATATCATATTTGATATTGTGTGTGTGTGTTTAACGATCAATAGTATAAAGGGTATTATTGGATTATTTTTAACATTGAATAAAAGCCTAATTTGTCCAGACTCACGACTTACTTGTTAAGAACTAGTCGTCAAACAGACTATAAACAACGTTGTTACATTTACGATCACTTTACACTAGCACTTAAACAGTATGTGGAGGGATATTGAGATTTATATTACAAGATATTTAGTTAACCACGTGGTTATAAAAAAATAAATAGAGAAAATATTAAAATGAAATCGGTTTTAGTCCCCTTGATTATTATTAATTCCAGAAAAAGAACTTCGAGTTAAGAAATTTTCTAGCTATGAAGACGTGAAGAGCGCAATTTTCATCTATTTCGACGACAAAGACAAAACATTTTTTTTTCGAAGGTATAAATAAATTAATTGATCAATCTAATAAAAGTATAGAGTCAAAAGAACATAGATAAGGAAAAATAATTTTGAGTTTTATTTATTATTTTTACCCCTCCTTCCGCGATCTTTTTGACCAAATCTCGTAAGGTGTGTTTGAGTCAGTATTCTTAATTCGGCTTTTTAGTATTCACTTAAACACCAATAGTTTCAACGTTAGATTAACTAAGAACTAAGAAAAAAAGGTGAACTTTGGTAAAATTGTTTTTTTTCCTATTTATAGTGAATAATTATAAAAACAATTAAGAATCAAAACGTGTAAATGTGTGCTTGGCTTAATTAGAGATTTACAAAGTGAAATGTTAGTTAAGCCTGGCCTATTTTATTATGTAAATGAATTGGGTCAATACAGTGGGGAGTGTTATCACACGTAGCCGTACATTTAGAAAACAATATATAAAAACGAAATGCGTACTTAATATTACTACTTATTTTGTTAAAAATATATTTATTCAACGTGTAGATATTTTTTTTATATTTCTTCAATTAATACGATAGTTTTTCATAAAAAACAACGTCGTCATGTTGTACGTGGGTGTGGTTAAGTAAAAAATCGTTTTATTGTTGTTTTTTTACCTATTCTAGATTCAATTAAAAAATAATTGCTTTCATCTTGTCTAATAGGCTGTTTTCTATATTAATATGGAATAAATAAAATATTAACTGTTTTTTTAAGGGGTACTTAACAATAAGGGTTGAGGGATGAATGATAATCAAGTTTATTTTTTAATATATTTATTGTTCAGTGTACTTCATCAATAATTTTTATTTAAAATAGTGACTTTATCTAGTGCAAAATAATTATGTTACAAAGAAATAAGTGCTCTCAATAAATTATTAAAATTACCTTTAAGACAATCTACTATATAATTTTTTTTGATAATTATCTCATAGGGGAAAAAAGGTTATCAAATGCATTTTATTTTATCAACAATTTAAATTTATATTTCAGCAATTTAACATTTGAAATGGATATATAACTTTTTGAAGGAAGTGCTCGAATTGCATGTCAATTAGCAATTTTAACTTAGTGCTTTACATTTACTTCATATAATATAAGTTTAAGAATTGCATTTTTGTATAATTGCATTAATGAAAATTTAGTTTCGTGTACTTTTGCATTATATGTATTTGTTAATTATAAATTTCTAATAAAACTTTCGTATATTAAAATAATATTTAAGGAGCTAGTGAAATCTTCTTGGCAATTTGGATATTTGTAAAATAAAGATAAATTCCAACCAAACTGATGATACCGATATTTACAAACAAACATTAAATAATTTATATTAACCTTATACATATTAAAACTTAACTATTTTTAAAAAGAAAAAATACTCTCATACATAAAATAATCAACAATTAAAATATCATAATTATAAAACTAGCATGTTTTTTTATGTTAAATTAATAATTGTAACATTAATTGCATTTATTAATTGCATGTATTGTTTTGATGTAACCTTGTTATATTAAAATAACATTAATTAATTAATTATTAATTACTGTGTAGTAAATCTTAGAAAGTTACACCTGTTTTTAGTATCTGTATGAGAAAATACGGCGCAATTTCATTTAATTATGTAACTCAAAATCAGTACAGCATTGAAACCCAGTTTGGTAGATAGGATATTTGACATCAAATTGACGTGTTTCGTTTTCGCCCCTTTCCTTAGAAAGATACAATTTCTAAGACTCACTACACATTTCTCAGATATCTTTAATATTCATCGCAATAATATACTACTATAATTATTACCTTTAATTATACGGAATGCTTCGTCAGCCCATTATGTAAACTATTATGTAAACCATAGGCCGTTTGTATCGGAACAATTGATTATATTTCAATAATTACATGTTTTAACACGATAAAAACAATGATTTTTAAGAATAGAAGAAACCGATACATCTTTCTCAATAGCAATCAAAGCTCACTACATTCGTAAAACCGTTGTATTTCAATAAATTTTTAAGGTTAATTAGTAAAGTTAAGAGTAATACCAAATTCGTATTTCAGTACGGAGACTGTCTATAATCTACTGATAACAGCTCACTTTATAGATAAGACAAAATTTGGTCGAGAAATATTCTAAGTAGATACTCTTATAATACAGGGTGAAGGCCTCAAATACAGTATTTACAAAGACTAGTTTATTGACGTGGGCGCGCTAGTCTTGCTTGTTGTAGGACAGTAAATGACGTCATCGTAGACTCGAGCCTCGCTTACCGTAGACTTGTTTTAATATCTAGTAGAATTAATTTATTTTCAAAATAAAATAATAAGTTATACGATACTCACATTTAAGTCTACACCAAGCAACAATAGCGCGTTCTCGTCGAGATATTAATAGTACAATCTAATAGGAGATTATATCTAATATAGTGTCTATTTAGAAGATTTAATGTCCTACAAATATTATCTAACAGTTTATGGTAAGTAGTACAATGATATGAAAATATATAGCAAATATAAAATGTATGTACTCGGTAAAGATTCATTAGACATTTAAAGATAACATTAAAAAGCAAACAATTTGATACATACCATTAACTACGCTTAAACATAAAACGAATTATAATTCACATTTATCAGATTTAGTGCCAAAAAACTCATCATATGGTCTTATAAAAGGCAATCTTCGTCGCAAGTCGTAAGTATAAAAGCAATGATACATTAACACACAAAGTCCGGGCAATGTGTAACGAGAAACAACTATCTACAACACAATGTACACTCGTATAGTAAATTCGAGCTTATTATAAAATGAACTTACTTCTTACATTAGATCAAAATTCTCACAGCTTTGTCTTTCATTGTTCGCTCAGTAGCGAGTAGAACGAGTAAATTCGTTAAATACTAATACTATTAGGTACATCTAGTACAAATGGAGAGGTATATTAAACAGTCGAATATAAATAAAACATCAATTATAATAGGTCAAGGAAATCATCACAATTATACGAATACATTCATAATAACTAGATATATTTTGTTGATTATAATCTTCATATAACGAGGAAAAATTTTATTAATAGGAATGCACAGAACCTTTCAAGCAACAGTTGATTGAGAATATAGTAATTGCATTATTTATTATAACCAATACTTTACGTAAATCTACAATGAAAATAGAATTAATGTATGTTTACCACAATTTTGCATCGTACTTTATAGTTTAAGATAGGTCATTGAACCACAAACGGAAACTTCGTATGTATATCATGATAAAAACTTTTGTTAAGCATTAGGAAATTAAAGATAATAAGATCATCGTAGGGTTTTCTGAAATGTCGTACAGAAATTAAAAATAAACGTAATGGTTCCAGGTAGATCAAAACAAGAGATTTCTTAATTAAATTAGATATAGCATTAAAATAATATAAGAATTTGAAAATAAATGAAGAGATCAAAGTACGACACATAATTAGTTACAGTCAACCACAAACGCATGAGGTATGTGGAATGAAAATACTTCGGCTACTAAGATATGAACTACAACATTTCGCTACATATATAAGTTTAAGGCCTGCTTATTCCTAATTAAGTACAAAGCACACTTTTTTGATAATAATTTAGGAAAAATATTACATTTATAATGGAGGAATCGAATAGTTTACACATTAACAAGATACAAACGACTTAGTGACTCAGTGCGAGTGTAATGCTCATCGAAATTATGTATTACGATATAGCTTCATATCCAAAACATATCTTATCTTAACGGGCAATTATAATTGTATACATTTAGTTCATTATTAATATTTAATTTACTGAAAAACATAGCTAAAATATTAGTTCGTATAATATTGATGAAGTAGTCCCAAAATTGTTAAAGAGCTCTCGTAACTGTTGATTTTTGATTTGATTATCGGGTCACGGTGAGCATTGAGTGGAAATATTATAATTAAATATAATAAGAATTATCGCGAAAAGTAATCTTCAATATAACTAAGTTTATTTTATTGGAAAAAACAATTGCAATCTATGAGATAAAAATTTTTCAATATTGATTTGGTTTCTTAAAAGAATTATAAAATAACCAGAAAGCCTGATTGCTTATGATTCCACTAAAAAAGAATATTAATCATCTTATATTATTTGTCCAATTTACAAAAAAATATAGAAGTATATCTAAAGATGGAGAATATTAATTAAAATTTCTAATAGCTTAAAATTGTGATTTATAAAATTTTCATTATATATAATTACTAATGAGTTTAAACGTCATTGCGATTTAAAATTATCATTAAATATATTTTTTTACTAAGTTAAAGTGTAATTTGAAATGTAATATTGATAGTATATACTTAATTTTAATATCAAATTGGTGTTCGAGTAGATATTTTAAAATTTTTCAAAACGTCCAGCGTCATCGCTGAATACATAATATAATTTATTTTCTTTTTGGTATATAATATTCATATTTTATATCCAGTCATAGGTCAAACGGCTGTTTCAAGATCTTCAGATACTATCTGAAAATGTTCCTGACCTGTAAAGAAATATATAGTGTTAAGAATGTAAATCTTTATATATATAATTCTTCTGTGAGTGTGTATGTCACTGAACTTCTCTCAAACGACCGGAAAGATTTTGATGAAATTTTTTGTGTGTGTTCAAGGGGATCTGGGAATGGTTTAGGCCTCGGCCTCGAATTTTGCGGGGAGCGGAGCGGCGGCGGCGGCGGCACGGAAACGCATACTGTTCTCCAAACTAGCGGGCAGCGGGCACCGCTGTATTCGAGGGTCGGTCCATTTGATTATACGCGTAAGATCCTGCCGCTCCCGCTGCCGCTCCGCTGCCCGCAAAATTCGAGGCCGAGGCCTTAGATTCACAATTTTGTCCGCTAGACAGTGTTTTTTTAAATTAATTTTTAATTTATTAATAGCTGTTGATACAAACGTTTTTTTGACATTAGATTTGACAACTAACTAATATGTCAATCATTCTGTCGCACTTCAAAACACGGAGATTTATGGCTTACAGGTAAACTCCAAAAATATAAATAAAAAAACGTAACAGATATTTCTTGATTATAGAGCGATAGGAAGTTCGCCGGGTCTTCTAGTATTAAAAATAATAATAATAATAGTATGTAAAGTTAAATAATATAGAACTGTCTTACTTTCCAAATACGCGGCTAAATCGTGGTCATCAGCTCTCAAGGCTAGATGCCTTGGAGTAAGTCCGGTGTGATCTTGCTGCGTCAGAGAAGCTCCCCCAGCTACTAACATACAGCATATAGCTCGTCTTTTATGAGCTGCAGCTTTATGTAGCGCTGTCTGCCCACGTTCGTTATCTCTCATATTCAATATAGCTGTGGGCGCACTAGCTATGAGATACTTCACAATCTCTTTATTTCCGTATCTAGTAGCTATATGTAGTGCCGTCTGACCAGTCGAATCAATTGACAGCAGCGAATAACCAGCCGAGTGTAACTCCTTTAGCTAAAGTGATGATTTTTCATTAATATAGAGTAAGTTATTATAATATTATTGTTGTTAATTAGCATACCATTTTCAAATCGCCAACTTTTGCAGCTTTTAACAGCGTATCTGAAGTTTTCTCTAATAAATTTCTGGAACAAAATTAACGCTTAAACACCTCGTCTTCAAAGATTGATAACTTCAAATGCTTACAATTTGATGTCATGAATATGTATTTAAAGGATTTCAAAATTCTATGCAGGGATATGATAATAGATCACAATATGTTTCTTAAATGAGGTGATGATTTTTACTACGGAACCACATCTCACCTACAGCCAAACACGTCTTGGTCAAATCCAAATAGTTTTTCGTGAACGCTGCATGCAATAGAAGAAAGAAGAAATAGAGTGCAGATTACATTAAAAAATGTGCCAAGAGCTATAGAAGAAACGTGCACTCTCTAGTCTAAGGAGGAATTTCCATTAAAATACATACAAGTACAAATATTACTACGTTTCATTTCATGTAGCTCAAATATTCCGTATCAATTAGTATCTATTGCTTCATCTAAGTCTAGGGTCGTCTAATATAATCCTATATCTATGTTTTGACTAACACAAATCATATGTAATATCTGTATTACTAGGACAGACGTAGCTTATTGAAGAACGTCGCAAAAACACATCTAAATGAATTCGTAAATATCTAAAATGTTATGTATAAATGATGAAGGTAGCCCATTTATTATTAAATACTACAAACAGACTCTATATTAGCTTTCTATTATTCATAAATTTATTCTATATACAGTCCTTTTCTTTGGTTCGCGTCTAAAAGATAGGAAAGATACCGTGAGATAAAAGAATATTTTTATAAACAAATATATTATTATAGAGAATACTTACGTTTTAAATCTTGATATAGAATCGCGACTTGGTTGCATGTCTTTAACTGGTGGGCTTATGCATAGTGGTGGGGAGTTTGAGTCTTGTAGGGATGGTATTTTGGGGGGTTGTAGCGATTTAGAAGGCATGTTGGACATTCTTGAAGCTGATGTACCCAAATTGGCTGGCGGTGTTTGAGGCGATAATAATTCTTCTGAGGTTCGAGCGGGGCTTGCGAAACCGGATTCACTGTCCAAAAAAATTAAAAGAAATTAAACCTTCAATAATTTGCTATAAATAAGCACCCGATTCTATGAAAATAGATTTTGTTACGAGAATTATAAATTTTAGCACATAATAATATAGTAACGTTATACTACATAGATCCATATCATGTAGTATAATCAAAACTGAATTTACATTTCTAAACACATTCTCAAAAAAAATACAAATTTATTTTTGAATATTATCACTAAAACGACTATTTTGCTACAGTTTTTTTTTTAATCCGACGTTACTGTTATTCTATGGTTGTCTAATGGTAGACTGATCTGCTTTGAAATCCGTAAGAGGATAAAATTTAATTACGTACATGTGTAATGCGGATGAACTAAACGGATAAAACTATGCGGCGTAGTTAATTTCGTCATTGGACTAAACATGCAGATAAAAAACAAATCTAGCTTGAGAATTGATGTAAAAACAAACAGCCTAAACTATTCACAACATCTAAATCCCTGGCTATAGCTGGGAAATTGCCGGGTAGAAGAAAAAACAGACCTGGCATGAGATTCTGGTACATCGAGCGACACTCCTGCGCTTGGTGTGTCGACACTCTGTGAGATGTCTAAAGACACTGATAGTCCCGTTGTAGTGTCAAGCGACACAGATGGCCCTGTGCGGTCAAGGGACGCGGTCGCAGTAGTTTCTGGGTGCACAGTTGATTCTGTGTCGGGAGTGAGAGGCGCTGCGTCTAGTATATATATATTCTCATGCCCAATATCAGTTGGATAATGAAGATTCTCCTGCGCTTTATCGATCCTAAAGAACCGTTCGGCCGTGACAGCTGAAAAATATATTGTTTTCATATTTTTTGTAATCCAAAGTTCAATAAAACCTAAGTTAATCGCCGTACTTACAGTCAACGAACCACCAATCAACGAGATTCGAGTAAACGTGAGATTCTTTGATCATGTTTTGTATAAGAACACGCATTTGCTCCAGGTCGGCTGCCGGATTTATTTCTAAAGTGCCGATCCGTTCCGCTGAAATGAAAGACAATTTTGTACCAATTGACATCAATGGGACCCCAAGCACTTTTCAAGTGGCACTGTACGTGCCCTATATTGACTGAGACCTTAAATAAAAAAGGACTTTTTATCGTGCTTTCTATTTATCTTTATTGTATGAAACCGTATGTAACGTATCCCGTGCACGAAACACGATAGTGTTTTTCCAGCAACGATAATAACATTGGCACTTTATTACGTATTAATGTCGTTGTGTCAACTTCGGGGAGAAAAAGTATATTAGATACTACAGAGTTCCATTACATATAGAGGAAAGGAATAAAATGCTAAAAATAATTATCATCATTATTGGAAAAACAAAATTTTATGTTACCTGTTTTAGCTAACAACTCCTTGTCGTAATGATGACGTTCGTAGTCAGCCATCGTAATGAGATTCACTGTTAGTGAGAGTTTGTCTAGCGTTGTTTGTCTAGAAACGAAATTACTTCATGAAAACTAATATATATATACACAACTTTATACGATTATATTAAATAGATATAAAGGTTTTAAATCAAACATTCCACACTTCGTATAATTGATGTAGATTTAAACAAAGTTGAAACAAATTATACTTACGGCGCTAAAACTCTCCCTGGTTTCTTTTTAGCTAACATAGTTGCCTGGTTTAGTCTGCAAAGTGTGATAACAGAGGGCGCTAGCCTGCAAGCCTCACCGTCCACTTGCATGGGAATAACTTTAGTAGTCACTATTTTAGCTGTTTTGCATTGCGTTATACATGTGCCATGACCGCCCGCTTGTAATAACGGCTGTAAAAACATTACACATTGAAAAAAAATAGATTCTAGCGTTTTAATACAAAAGAATAAGTTAAAAATGTGCTACCGTTTTATATTTTATGTAAAATTCAGAACCAAAAAGAACCGTTTGAGATTTCAATCCAATGAATCATATTATTTTCGTTTCGATAAATAAAAAAAAGTTTCAGATATATACATTGATTTCAATACAATTATGAATGTAAAAACGACTGTAATTAACCTTGTAATAATATTCACGGAATGTTGCACAGGAATAAACCAATTTCAATTGTCAAAGGGTTCGCAATGGCATGATGGATTTAATGGATTGCAAATTGGCAATGCACCGCATATGCTCTACATGGCCCCATGGGGTATCATTAAGTTTACGAAGTGTAAAGCTTACTCATTTATACTTGCTAATGAAACACAAAAAATCAAGTGATTTTTTGGGTTCAGGTAATACTTAGTATGCAAATTTCACTACAAATACCCATTAAGAAGATCAGTCTTTTGATTATTAATCAAATTTCTTCCCGAAATACATAGAATAATGTAATAAAATATTGTTAGCTACGTGCAGTGTTAATTAAAAGTAATTTTCTCTCTTCTTAGTTAATTTTTTCCAACATTTTACCTTCCTTATCTTCATTACATCTTATTTCTTTCTTTTTCTTATAATTAATTACTTTAGGTATTTATATTTATGTGTTTATCTGCATTTGTGTGTGTATTGTATATGAGTGTAAACTGTACCATTTTTAAACATTTCAAATAAAAAATGTTTCCTTCGATCTTTATATTTTGTGTGTTTGTTTTAATTTCAAATACTCTTATGAATAATATTCTATATAAGTCAGTGGTGGCCTGGTGGTTAAAAGGTACGCCTCTCATGCATGAGGGCGCGGGTTCGATCCTGGCAAGTACCAATGTGATTTTTCCGAGTCATTTGTACTTTCTAGTAGTATTTAGACATCTAGATCTAGACTGGCTAAGGCTGGGAAATTGCCAGGTAGAAGAAGAAGACTCTAATGTATAATATTTTTATTAATAATAATTAAACACACGACATAAAGCCTTTTATACACTTATTCATATAATAAACTCACCAATTGGTAGGTAGTTAAACCCACAACTTCTATAAGACCGTCTTCTGTAGAGGGATCCGCACTTCCACCCGATTTATTCCAAGGATGTGTACCACCGCCGTAACTAAAATAAACTTGTCAATAAGATAATCTAAATTTATCACATTTGAGCCTTAATCTTAAACTTCCGTAACTGTAAGCAGTAATTTGATTGCTATATCCTTTAAAGTAACTCTATATTTAATACCTTGGCTATTGTTTGTTATTCCAATGGCTAGATAAAAGATGGTTATAAATATAAATGTTTTATTGGATTCATTTAAAAGTCTATATTTTTAAGACAAATGAAACTAATACTTTTTGGGTTATACTAAGAATATTTTATTATTGTAAAAACTGTATGCTCCCGACGTTTCAGTTACTTTCAAGCAACTGTGATCACGGGCAGACGAGATGTGACTTTACATTCACATCTCGTTAAATGAATACTCGCAAAAGTCTTAAATCTCATCATTTTTTAGATAGTTCTGAATTTTATATTATAAATACCTTGGAATGTTTAAGAAAACGATGGCGTGAACTTTATGTTCTTTGAGCACTGGAGTGTAATCCTTGCCATCACACTCCATCGTCACGAATTCCGCTAGACCCTTCCATTTGCGTTGCATCAGATCTTTACCACCCGCTGTCCCATAGAACAGTTTGTTCCTGATCCGAGAATTAAACTTCTCCGGATGAGCCTCTGTTAAATTCGAATAAATAAATTGGTTATTAAAAAAATAACATTGTAGCAGACAAATTAGGTACTGAGTACAAAGTTTGAGAAAGTTGTGACTGATATATGATATTATTTTGTTAGAAGAACAACTATTTACGATATATAAATCATAACAAACTTGCTAGCTGAGACGCTTCAATGAAAGTTTATAACTTTTTGTACTTGTATAATAAAGTGAAGTTTTAGTTCATTAAAACATGTTATTATTGGATAGTATACCTCTTGCCTCGTGGAATTCTAAGGCGATATGCGCATCGACACCGAAGGAAAAGTAGTTGTTGACGACGTTTAGAGGTAGTTCGGGTTTAGCATTACTAGTATCTTCACCCGACGCCGCCTCGTTTGGTTCAACCTTGAGTTGCCAGCGATCTAACAGCACCGTATCGCTCTCTCCGATGTGTGCTAAGATTTTAGATATCGGCTCATCTTCGTAACCCTATGTACATTATAAATATTCAATACACATTTATATATAACGTTATTTTTTTAGGGAACATTATACATTATATACGACTACGTTTTAAAATTCATCTTAAAAAGAATTAAAGATTAATTTTGATAATTTAAAGATTGTTTTTGTTGGATTATCAATGTTCAAAAAGGTACACAGAATTTTAAGTAAATCAATTTGAAGCCGTCAAAAGTCATATGAAAAATATATTTTTTTGGGTAAAAACTTGAAATTTTTAGTACAAATTTTTTCCTTAAGTTGTTTGTGAAACTTTAAAAGCGTCTAACATTCGCCAAGGGAATTTCAATACACAATTTTGTTTAAATGGGTCGGTTTTTGTGTTCACCGTCACAAACCAGGAGATCCATTTAGCTTTGCTTATTTTTTGTTTAGTTTTTCATTAAATGGGTCGCCCCAATTCGTGAAATTAAAGCACAAAACACTAGAGTTTTAAAATACCTTAGCATTCATTGCTCTCAAAGTAATAATCTCTTTGGCTGTTTGATTTATTTCTTCTTTATGACTTTATTAGATTTCTTGAAACTAGTTTATGGAGATCACGTCTAAGTTTCAAAGAGTAAAGTAATATACTTCAGCTATAGACAATGATTACTCTCAAATCAACAATTTAACCAGAGTTTGGTGTATAAAATATTTAACTTTAAACATTTTAAAATGGCTTCGAGAAACAGCAATAATACTATACTAAAGAACAGTCAATTCTACGTGTTGATTAAACACATAGAGGCAAAACATACTAAATTATTTTACTACATGTATAAATTTAATTTCGAACATAAGTAATTGGTACTGCTAGTCATAACACCTTAGAGACATTTAGCAAATACATTAACTAAAATAACATGAGTTAAAAATACATACCATTCTTAAATGAAAGTAATATTTTTCGGACGTACTACGCTATTTCATTTTCATAAAAAACTTCACATCTCGTCTGCCCGTGATCACGGTTGCTGTAAAGTAGCCGGAACGTCGGGAGTATGTAGTTTTTTGGACATTATTTTTAGAAAAAAAATCGTGATCACGGGCAGACGACATCACGAAAAGTAGCCGAAACGTAAAGAACATGTAGTTTTTAACAAAAATGAAGTCGCGTAGTATAATCCGAAAAATATTTGTTTCATTTAAATGAATTATACTAGCAAAAATCGTAATTCTCATTATACATACCCCTCCCCAACCGAGTGCTCTTGCTAAATCATTGCCAGTACCGAGTGGTAGTACGCCAACAGCAGGTCTCGAACCTATCCGGTCTAAAACACTTAACACCCACCCCACTGTGCCGTCACCACCGCAGGCTAGTACACGCAAGTTTGGCACTTTACGGAACATTTCTAACCTGGAAGAAGAAACTTTTTAGATACACTGTATCTGATGATGAAGTTAATCTGAAGTATTTTATTACTAGGATATTAATATGTAAATTTACAGACAATATGTTTTAATAGTAACTTTATTTTAACTTTATTGTCAGTATATTTAAACAGGTAAATGGTTTCTTAAACGAATTTGGACTCAAAAGTTTTATATAGTACTAGCTTTCCGCCTGCAGCTTCGCCCGCGTGGAATTCGGTTATATCGCGTTTCCAAGAGAACCTTTCAAAAGTCTGGGATAAAAACTATCCTATATTCTTTCTTAAGGTTAACTCTATGTCTGTACCAAGTTTCATTAAAATTAGTTCAGTGGTTTGGGCGTGAAAGCGTAACAGACAGACAGACAGACAGACAGAGTTACTTTCGCATTTATAATATTAGTAGGGATAACTTATTCTATACATAATTGTATTTTTCATATTACAATATCTACTGTCTTTGTGTTAGTTTGTGTCTCTTTACAACAAAGTTTGCGAATGTTATAAGTCTTGTTATTGTAACACAAACTTTGGCGATGTTACTCTCACGTCATATATCTAGTTACAAATTATAAAATTAATTTTTATTTTTATTCTCTTTAAGGTCTCAAGGGACGTGACAGTTTTTTGATTTTAATAACTTATTGATAATGTCAATTCGTAGCAAATAGTGGTCACATATTTCTAAAGACATTATTCGTTTGATATAACTCGTAATATTATAAATACAAAAGTAACTCTGTCTGTCTGTTACGATTTCATGCCTAAACTACTGAACTGATTTTAATGAAGTTAGGTACAGAGATAGAGTTGACCTTGAGAAAGAACATAGGATAGTTGTTATCCCAGACTTTTAAAAGGTTCTCTTGGAAACGCGATATAACCGAACTCCACGCGGGCTGAAAGCTAGTTATAAATAATATTTTTTATTTTATTATACTGTATTTTACTGAAATTTGGATAATATTTGCAGTAACCGTGATTATTGGTAGAAAAGACGAAAGACATTTTATCTACTCTAGTTCTAGTCTAGAAAATACTTAGATAACTCAGTCTAAAATTACGTACTTACTATATTAAAAAAAACTTATATACTAAAATGTAATAAACAGTACTAGATCAACTTAGGTTTTAATTCATATTCACATATAAGCTTTTATTCTGATAAAACTTTAACAATAAATCAGACAATGACTAAAGGAACACGGGTTTAGGGTAAACAAAATGTTTGAGATAAACTTTGATGCGTACCTAAGCCTGCCTGTATCAGACATCTCAAAGTTATGCGTAAACATATTTACTTCTTGTTATTGTGCTAACAATAAATCAGCGTTAAACTACTGCGATGTAAGAATATAGATTTAAGGCAATAAATAATTTAACATATGTCAGTGGTGGCCTAATGGTTAAAGGGTCCGCCTCTCGTTGCCGAGGGCGTGGGTTCGATCCTGGTGAGTACCAATGTGATTTTCCGAGTCATATGTACTTTCTGAGAGTATTTAGACATCACTCATTAAAAGGGGCTCCCAAAGAGGGTGTATGTCAGCAGGCGGCCGGTCGTAAAAAAATTAGCCAAAACTATTCACAACATGTATGGCAGACCCTGGCTAAAGCTGGAAAATTGCCAGGTAGAAGAAGATGCGAAGGGATGAATTTGATATAACAAGAAGAATGTTAAATATGAAAGTCGTGGTATATGTGGGTCGAGGTACACCTAAGAAAAGATGGATAGATTACGTGAAGGATGACATGGCTAAGAAAGGGGTAACCATGACATGACTACTTATAGGCGAGACTGAAAGAGCAGAGCATGTTGTGCCGACCCCACATAAGTGGGACCAGGGCATTAAGAAGAAAAGAAGCAGTATTTTAATATAACTCAGGTCATGTACCTATTAAGGGTCATGGGAAAAATTAACGCCCGTTTCCAAAGTACATATCAACGATATACGAGTAGGTGAAGCGACAAAACGTTTGTTTTAAATTGTTAAAAGGTATCGATAAAAGTCGATGGAGCAGAAAAAAGTTCTTTGTGATACAAAGAGCTTGTTAACGGATGCAAAGTGTGAAAAAAACTTCCACAATATGCAATTTTTAAACACAAGAGGAACGTTTATCGGTTTGCATGTGATATATAAGATATATATAATATGAAAATGATTTTAATAGACACCTTTTTGATTCATATATAAATAATATATTGATTACAATATAAAACTATTCATTCATCTATCCAAACCCTTCATTGATCCATCGATCATAACCAACCACCCATAAAATCAGTAAAATTCTAAGTGCCATTACATTTTCCTTCGCATTTTTGTTCCTTCGTTAATTCCATACATATGTTCTTATATGGATTTTAATATTCGAAAATTATATACGCTATTTAGAAAACTACAAAAACTTTACTATATAAATAACAATTGGAATAAAATTTTAATAGTTGATCCTAGTTATCACTGAAATTAAAATCGTTATGTCTATATGTGTGTCTTTAATACAAATCGCTAAATGACGTTAAAATTTAACTGCCTTAATTATCAATTTTTTTCTAAAGCCGTAAATTCAGTGATAGTAGTGAGGACCATTTCATGTAATTAATAATAATTCATTGGCGATTATAAAATATATCTTTGATTACTGTTTAATAATCAAGAAATCATATTGAAAAAAAAAATAAGGCATTTTAGAGATTTCAAAAAGATTTTTATAATTGAACTGTCTACACAAATGCTTATATTTTGACTATATATGATAGTTAAAAATATAGTATTTTATATCACAAACAAAACTCTGCTTCGGCAATGTTAAATTTTATTTAATTTCTTCATGTTTATTTAACAGTTCCACCTGTTATGAAATGTTTTTCAAAACGTTCTTTTATTTGCGTATATAATAGTTTAGAACTTTCATAATCAATTGTTTGATTCAATTTTTAGAGTAAACGCTGTGAATATTTAAATTAAAAATAAAACTGACGGTGAAGCCTAAAAAATACGAAATGTGTACTAAGATATTAATTAACAGTATATCCATTTAGTGATAGAGTTAATTATTATAATGGAAATGGAATTAAAGTATTCAATTGTGTTAAATCTAGTGGTTGGTTTCTGTGTATTTCAAACGTTAAGAGTAAAAAAATTAACATTTCTAATAAGCTATACAAATTTATGACAATAATATTTACCCCGGTCCAGGGCCTCCTTGAGTGAGATCAAAGACTTGTCTCGGATTAAGCAGCCACTGAAATTTCTGCAGAAGTTTAGCACCCTGATTGCCTCCGCTCTTTGGATTTATAAAAACCAGTACCGGTTTTACATTGGCCGTAGGAATTGGCTTTATTATGAACGTTCGCTGTTCAGTCTTCGAGTCTTTACCCTTTTTCTTTGCGGTATTTTTCTTTTTAGGCGATTTCCTTAATGAAGACTTAAAGCTTCCTCGGCGAGGTAATTTCACGATCCACGACGGCGGCACAATTATGTTAGATTGTATACCTGATATAAATTTATTTATTAAAATTAATGTTCATGAAATTTGTTTTTTAATAAGAAATATAAAATTACCTAATGAGCATTCTTCTCCTATCCTTTGTATGTTGAAACAGCTGTCTTTGTTGTGGTAGGCGTCTTTACACCAAGAACAACTCAGTGCTACGATTTCTTTGGAACTAAATGACAATTTTGCTTGAAGCGACTGGGAACAAAATGATAATTATTAGCTTGTATATACGTAAATGTTTTTATGAATTTTAATGTAGGATTTTTTTGGGAAGAATACGCACGCGATCGTCAATGTCATCTCTAAGTTCTATAGCATTTTCTACGGGTGTCTGTGATGGTATGCACCAGTCGCAGCAACTGCGCCGGAATGACTGATAAAAATCATGCAACACACATGCAAAACAAATAAATGATATTAAACGACGATATAAAAATTCAGGACAAACACTGAAGTAGTATTCCTCATAAATATATACATACATTTAATTACTTGACTATAATAATAAAAATAAACGCCTGCTGTAAAAATATTAGCAACCATTCAGTTATTGTCCTCAAAAAAACATGAAGCGGTGCAGTATGCATGAATGCTGATGCTGGCAAATCATAATAAACTTTAGGGGAAATGTCACAGGTCGCAAGTTGAATCGTAAAGTACAAGCTAGTTGTATAAGCTCATGATGGAAACGCGCCGTGTGGACGATATGGCAGCACGTCATTAAAAATGAAGTTTTAATTTCGCTTCGGGGGACGGAACACTGTTTTTCGTGTCTCATGCGAGCCAAATGCAAATCACTCCAACAGGGGTGGGAAAACTCAATAGCACGAAACACGACATAACATACGTTGAAAAAAACGGGCATTACAAAAGGATACTTTGATGTATTATTCAGAATATTATAAAGAATTCTCATTTCAGAAACAGAAAAATTGAAATTCCTGACGATGCAATAATTATCTAATAGTGATTACAATACTGTTGATTGAATGAAAACAAGCTAACACTGAATTCATTTAAACTAAAGCGAGTTGATAAACACAGATCTTCATAATGAAAAGTCAGCACTATTTTACCAGAGGTGGATAAATTGTAACTTTAATATTACACAGCATTACCATAAGTCAAAGTACTTTACATACTTTTGATCGTTCTATTTATTTAAGATCCATTTGCTTTGTTTATTTTATATTCCAATATGACTTTCGTGCCTTAACAGTATAAATATTTAATGTCTTTAACGAAGGGTGAAATTGTACGTCACTTTTACTTTGAAATAATCGTAGATTTTTAATAAAGTATTGAGAATTCTATGAGAAGACTATATAATATATTGTAATGAAGATGGTCTCATTACTGTGTACGGGACGTAATGAGAGTTTTAGATGTCGTATGAATAAAGATTAGATATGCCATAGTAATATAGATAATAATTATTAGTAATATTTTATAATTACATACATTAAAATGAAAAAAAAAAATACTTTTTATCATTAAGGCAATTAGCAAACTGTTGTAAATTTTAACATATTTATAATAAACCATTCAGAAATCTAAATAGAAATTAAATATTATTACCTTTTTTATATATAAATAAATGAGTTAATTGCAAAACATATAATAGGTAAATTAAAAACTATTAATTGTAAACAAAAAACAAATTTGTTTTATATTGAAAGATAACAGGCGAGGTTTTTATATTAATTAGTATGTATAACATATTATAAAATGAACGCTAAATAGTACTCTAGGATTCCATTACATAGTTTTTTAAATATAATATAATAAGAAAGTTTTCTTAAACGTACTTGTGCAAGCCATTTAATTTACTATACATTACAATAATTGTTTGAAGATATTTAAATTTGAATATTCATCAATAAAGCAATGTTGGGTACAATTACACAAATACATATGTATCTATATACACTTTTACACAAGTACAAAAGTATTCATGTACATACATATATGTACATGTACTGAACAAAGGCAATTAACAGGTGCGCCGACGATTCCCGAAATTCCGATATCATACATACGAAATTAAAATGCTAATGAAATTATTTGAAAGCGTATAAAAAATTTCAGTAAACCCGTTTTTATTCACTAACAAAAAATCATCCAACCGTTCTTTAACTTAATAAACTCTTTATAATGTTGGCAATTTTTAGTTCTATATTAAAGGTACGTTAAAAAAACTCAGAAAAATACCAGAAGAGAATTCACGTTTTATAATTTAATACTGAATTTTTTAAACTGGCAACGTTAATTTTTACCTTACATTAAACTGAGGGTATTTTTTATATAATTTTTAGTTGTGGTAACACAATGCATACATAATGTATTTAACGATACTAAAGCAAAGATTCTACGTGTTAACAATTTAATGAATACATAGACATTAAAATGGAAATAAAAATGGTAATTAATGATGAGCATAGGTAATATTAACACAAACAGCTAGGTCATAGCAAAATAAACATCTGTGATTCATAGACTAAGTTATAAATGAAACTAATATTTTCTGGATATACTACGACACTTTATTCTTGATAAAAACTACATACTACCGTCGTTTCGGCTACTTTTATCAACCGTGATCACGGGCACACGACACGAGTCGCGAAGTATATCCGAAAAATATTAGTTTCATTTAAATGAATACTCGGAAAATCTTATATCTGACTAACTTATATTTGAATATAACAGTAAAGACATATGTATATAGCGTGGCTTTCCTCACCTTTCCGCATGCCTTGCACTTGCCCTTTTCGGATCGTCTGTGTACCCAGTGGTGATGAGTGAGGGTCTGTTCTCGATACTGGCGGATGCCGACATCTCTGAAGGTCGGCTTGCACGTGAACTGAACCCGATCGATCAAAATATCTATACATGACTGGTGAGCTACGATCTTGCACGCCGAGCATTTCATGCGAGACCCATGTTTCTGTGGATAGAAAGCAAATTATATCTATATATATATATATATATATATGTGTGTGTGTATGTCACTGAACTTCTCTCAAACGACCGGACCGATTTTGATGAAATTTGTTGTGTGTGTTCAAGGGGATCTAGGAATTGTTTAGATTCACAATTTTGTCCGCTGGACAATATTTTTTTAATTAATTTTTAATTTATTAGTAGTTGTTGATACAAACGTTTTTTTTTTTGACATTATATTTGACAACTAACTAATATGTCAATCATTCTGTCGCACTTCGAAACACGAAGATTTATGGCTTTTATAGGTAAACTCCAAAAATATAAATAAAAAAACGTAACAGATATTTGTTGATTATAGGGCGATAATAAAGTTCGCCGGGTCTTCTAGTCTATATACATACATATACATATAAAAATGAATTGCTGTTCGTTAGTCTCACTAAAACACGAGAACGGCTTAACGGATTTATCTTATCATAGTCTTGAAATGTTCGTGGAGGTTCAGGGAAGGTTTAAAAGTAAATTGATTCTTTACTGGGAAAACCCTAAAAACAGCCCTTTTCTATTTCCCATACAATTTTTTTTGACATTAGATTTGAAAACTAACTAATACGTCAATCATTCTGTTCGATTGAAACAGGAGAAACCTGATTACTAATGGCCTCTAAAATGGAATAGAGTTCGCCTGGTCAGCTATACATATATTACTAATGACGAAATTAACGCAGACGAAGTCGCTGGCAAAAACTAGTATGTAATAAAAATAACAAAATACCTTCCTAAATTCTTATATAATAGAAGTTTTATATATAAATGTCGTAAATATCTTTTAAAGTAAATTGATTCGTATGAATTAAATGCAACATCGGTATTCTGAACATTAAGCACCCGTAGGCTGTAAACGAATCGCTATGTAAATTGAAAGCAACTCAGGGAGAATAATTTCATTAATCAGCCGTGAATAGGCTTGAAACACCAAAAAGGTATAAAACTGCTTCGTTTAAAAAATATATGTATCTATAACAGGTATACCAAGATGGAGCTTGTTCATGAAAATAAAATAATACATATGTTCTCTTACTCCAAATAATTTAATATTATAATCCTTTAAATTTTATTTGTTTAATATTTCATTTATTATTTAGAGCCCACTGCTGAGCAAAGAACTCTTCTCTCATGGAGAATGTTTCAGCATTAATCACCACGCTTGCTCAAGACGGGTTGGTGATTTTAAACTTATAATTGTGAAACTATAAGTCCAGGTTTCCTCACGATGTTTTCCTTCACCGTCTGTCAATGGTGTCTAAATACTCTTAGAAAGTACATATGACTAGGAAAAATCATATTGGTACTTGCCAGGTTTCGATTTTTGAATAAAGTAAATCTGGTTTACTGTACATATATATTAAACTTAAATATTTAATTCGAATAACGTTAAAAATAAAATATAACAGAGCTCCTTTAATGCTTTTATCGATATTGTATACATAAATATCATTTAATTATTTTCAGTTCATCATTTCATACCCAGAATTTTCATTCAATACGTAGGAGTTTCGCATAAATAAGTCTTTACTGATATCTGTAGGCTGTATAATTAAAACGTTCGATCAATTAAGATTAAAATTAAAAATAAAACTGTCCTATTTGGCTTGTGAACTATGTTGAGTTAGGAATCTTGGTTGACTTGTAAACTTATGTTGTTTCAATTTGCAAGATGATGGTATTGACGTGGTAATTTCAGCGGAACTTGCAAGTTTACTTGACAGTTTCATAATTATGTCATTAATGTTCATATTGAACTAATGAACATAACTCGAACACAGTCGGAATGGTTACAGAAGTCATATAATGTACCACTGTAATATTTATTATCTTTTATCTATTGACAAAGTTACTATAGATTAATTCTAAAAGTAATTGGATCTTGATTCTAATGGAGCTTCTAATGAAGCAGGTTTGCCGTGCATATCTGAATAATTATATGTACTATTAATTATCAAATTAAAGTCATTTTCAAAGACATATATTTGTGTTATTTTTTATCTTCTTCGACCCCAAATTCAAGCATCAACAAACTACATATGTCCTCATTGTTTTTACCCTAAATATATACAATTTTGCTTTGCCAAAGAATAAATTAAGTTTGGGTTTAAATAAGGAAAACATTTCTATTATTTGTCCATGGGAGCGAATAAAGGTATTAATGAGACCCTTTTCTATACGAGAAAAGTTTTGGACTTTCTAATAAGAAACTAAACTAATTAAGGCTTGATAACGGGGAATTAGTAGCCCGTTAAACATTACCCTTACGTATCAGAAAGCTAATAATGATTCGTTCCGTTATAATTCAACTTTATTAATAAGATTAACGAGACGCAAACTATTATGCTTAACATTTATTACTGCAACCTCAAGTACTTCTATTAAAGAACAAGGCTTATATATGTATGTTTGGATTTAACACTTTTTATCCGAAAAATATATATTTTATCTAAACAATAATAGTAATTTGGTGCGTTTATGATACAAGAGAATTTATTTAATACACTACCTTTCTCCTCAATTATGCATCACGAAATAATCTGAAATTAAAATCTTATCTTTTTTAATCATATAGCTTCATTCACATTGGAGTTGTAAAATATAATGCCAATGTTATTTTTTTTATCTATTGATCGAATTATAATATATTTTTTAATAATCAGTGGTATTATAAGTGAAGGCAAAACGATTTGTTAAAGAAATTACATTCAATAGAATTAATCAAACTCAATATTTTCTATACAACTTTTGACGTGGATATTCGACATTTGATATGTTTTAAAAATTTTACGAAGCTATATATTTTTTAATAGGCTGATTATAAATTTTATTTTCATTTCGTTTATTGGCATATGTAACAGCTTAATTGCTTTTCAATATACACAAGCTTACCATCAAAACATAATATGTATGTCGATTAGATAATTTAAGAATAAAATCCTCTTTTGTTTTTTGATAAATAAGATATATACAATAAATATTTATGTAAAAATAGTTAAAGATACTTCTAGTACTTTCAAACCAACATAGAACATTAAAACCAAATTTCCTGCTATATATGGAAATATCAAGAAACGTGCACATGGCTAGGTCATTAATATAACTGAGATTTATAGCACTATTCTCACATACAAATACAAAATTCCATAAGCTTAACACATTGTAATGTTACTACGAGCTCATTCAATTTTAGTAAATAAATGGTCATTTTTATTATGTATAATGTTTATAAATTAACTAAATGCGACCAGCCTCAATTAGTAGATGAATGTAGCATGCACCCTGCGGCAGCCTTTTGTTATAACGCCTGTGACAGGTCATCGGTTGCTTAATGTTTGAACAGCTCATTAATCTTATATTCAACTAACACACAAAAGAAACGAAACTTTATAATGACTGTCAGCATTATCATAATTTGTTGCTACAAAGCCCACTGCAAAATATTTATAATTTTACATAACAATAACATAATTTTGTGCTTGCCACACGGTGAAATTTCAAAGGCTTTGTGAGGCAAGAGAGGGAAATAATCTAGGCTTTTAATGTAGCTCGTTAGTAAATAGAATTGGAAACTTGAATACAGCTATTTATAAAAGAATGTTGAGGATAAAGAGCGGAGGGCAGAACACTGTTACTGTTACAAATACATAATTTGCTTAATTTGTCTTTCATTTACTTTACGGAATGTAGGAATACACTCTGTAAAAACAAGTTTAAACAGACATTCAAATATCACTATAGTTTGATAAAGGATTTGTGAGTTATTCTCAATATATAGAAGTAAAACAAAATTCTTTGAAGCATTAATAATTACTGCTCTTTGGAACACTTGATATGTTTATGAATAAATAATTAATGTACAAATGAATTACAATGTATAGACTGGTTCTTAAAATACTTTCAATTACTTGTTTATAGAGATTTATCTGTAGTGTTGTAGTAATCCTCATATTTCGATTATTTTTTTTAGCCTATCAGAGCCCATTGCTGAGTAAAGGCCTCTTTCTCTCATGGAGAAGTTTTGAGCAATAATCACGATGCTTGCTCAAGATTGGTTGGTGATCTCAAACTTATAATTGTGGAATTATAATTCCAGGTTTCCTCACGATGTTTTCCTTCACCGTCTGCATTTCCTAATACTCTAATATTTTTCTTAAAGTGTTTCCCAAACATTATTATAAAACCTAAAAATAGTAATTGTAATGTGTTTTAGGTATAATATTCACTAATGGATTATAATAACTAATGTGTAATTTAATTAACGTTATACGAAAAGCAATTACGACGAATTAAAACTAATTTGCAAAACAATATTGGTCAGTAGCGGGTTCTTTCCCTTTGGGGATAATTAACTAATTTTATAAATATGGTGGAGGTTAATTAATGTGTAATAATAATGTTGTATCATCTTATTTATTTATGTGTTTAATACATTTATAAATGTTTATAAATTAGGTCGAATGGTAATAATTAAGAAATACTATTTCTTTTGTTAATTATTCAGGTCAATAATTTATATATTTTATATTTATTTCTATTGGAAATCGTTAAAAAATATTGTTAACTAAACTTGAACGTTTTTCACAGTATTAACATTGTTAAAACTTTCAGCTACTGAAGTGTTTCTATTGATCTGATTATTACACAATTTCGAGAGATATTTCATACGATTTTGTGTTATAATTTTGACAGGTTATTACAGAGCCAACCTACCTGACATTCAGTGTCACCAACATAACAACAGTCCCCGGAAACCGAAGTAGGGGCCCAGAGATGTTCTCCACTGATGGCAGCGTCACTCCAATCTGGTGTCGAACGAAGAACACGAGCTCCACCCGACTCACTAGTACGTCTGGTGACAAAAAATACAATTAAAACAAATAAAAAACAATGCCCATACATATGTGAATATTCTCTAGTCACATGCGTCAACAATTTTCTTTAGACCTACTTTCTTTTTGTTATCCACTTTGTTAAATATATTATAATGTATCTTTGTGGCTATAGTCTTCATAAAATTTAAAAAACTGTACAATATATCTGTATACGCTGTTGATTACAAATAAATAAATAAGCCTATAATTATAAAAAACAATGATACATTGTATATATGATAGAAATGTTTGGTTTAAAATATAAAAAATAATTGAACGCAGCGAAATTGTTTGCAATTTGATCTGTATCCAAAAACGTATAATTTTTACCATTTGTATGAGTGTGAAATATTCGTTCGAAGATAATATTGATAACTTTTCTTGTATATAAAACGCATTATAATAATTTTGGTTGGTTGCAATGATTGAACATTTAAGATAGATAGATTCATTTATCTCTACAACTAAAATCTATACTTTGATATCCATACAAGTAAAGTATGGATGTATTAGTTAGTTATTTAGTTTAGAGGCGAAATATTTACCCATTAATGCTAGAATACATGTGTCAATTATTTTGACAGCGCCCAAAGGTTCTATTAATATTACGATAGAGTATTTATATTCTTAGAGGTTAGTACACATAATAAAAATATAGGCATTTTCATGATATATTTTTTTGTTTCAGCTTCTATGGACTTTTAAAGAAATATCAGTAGGCAATAAATATTTGAGTGAAACATAAAGTAGAAAGCTACCTCGTTTATTAATTTAAACTTGTGGCTTTGAGCCCACTCATAACGTATTTATGTTTTAATAGTGAGTTATGAGGATGCAGATATTATACTATTTTAAACAGGCTTTCATGTTTGTTCGAACGATTTTGATATTATTATGTGATATTTTTGATGTTAATACCTACTTCATGAATAAAAGATATAAATAAGGCCTAAGTAAACGAATACACGAACGTCGTGTATACGTATGTAGTGTAAAATTTTATTTAAATTACTTTTATGTCATTATGTGTCGGAATGTTCGCGTGTCCCTTACAATTTTAATTTTTAAAACAATATTAATATAAAAACTTTTTACACGAATCATATTCAACAGAAGTATTTCAAACAAATAGAACAATTTGAAATAATTCCAAATTCTATTCATTTCTTTTCTTTTCATCACAAAATCCCTCATTCCTTCATTTGGCATGATAAAAGCCGCTCACAATAAAATTGTATAAAAAATTCAAAAGTGTTTCTAAAGCTAAAACAATATATAGATAAATTAATAGAATTATCAACGTTTGAATTGTTTTAAGAGATTTACATACGAGATATATTGAAAAATGGACTGTGCCCACTGCAAGAGGACGATGGAAGGATGCGCCTCGATAAAATGCAGCCGCTGTAACTCTCAATTCCACCTGGAGTGCGTGAGCAGTGAGCATCTGGTGCCGAGTTCGAACAATTGGAGGTGCTGTAAGTGTGAAATGTGCTACCCCGCAGCATTAGCGACCCAGGTGTTAGATTCGGCGGTCCGAGCATAAAAATGTGACTGTAGTGACCCCATAATTTTAATAGACGTCTTTGGAGTGTTCAAATTCTTTTATTTCAGTAATATTCATCTTGTCTAGTGCATCTATATTTACCGGTCTAATTTAAATTATATATACTTGAACAAATTTTACTTATTCCTTTTACTAGTGAAAACCCCTAGACAATAACTTTCAACCTTACTGCATTTTTTAGTAATGAAACTGTTTTCCGAAATACTTCGTAGGTTTATTATTCTTAAATTTTTTCCGAGGTGTCGTTTGAAACAACCGTGATCACGGACAGTCGAGATGGTATTCAGACTTACACTGTTTTTAACATGCAATAACTTCTTCTTCTACCTGGCAATTTCCCAGCTTTAGCCAGGGTCTGCCATGCAATAACCAAATAGTTGAAATTAAGAGCAGCTGACCTTGTAAACTAAAAAGCCCAGCCGCTTAAGTATGCAGCAATGCAATTAAAGGTTGTGGCTCAGTATTTGTCGAGTGAGAATCTAAGTTAAAATTTAATTCACTACGTAAAATCTCTAAGCGAATACAAGTGCTTTAGTAAGAAATATGTGGGAAAATAATATATAGTTCAGACCAAAGGTGGTATGAACTATGAAGTGTATACGTAAAGCCTAACAATCCTCTAGATATTACCTATTTTAATACATTTTTTATATAGATCCTCCAGCCAAGATATAAACCTATGGAATTCAGGATTTTCTAGTGTTCAAGTACACTTTCCTTAAAATCTGACTTAAAAACCTTTTTCTGACTAATCTGATACGTTTTTTATACTATTCGGTACTAATTGATATTTATATATGTATACATGTATTAATTCTATTTATTTATATGCTTATTTAAGTACATCTCTTTTTTCATATACATATCTATATCATAATTTTTGCACTTATCTATGAAAAGATTTGTGGCAACGATCTCTATTAAAAGACGTTATCCTATGCGCGTCACATTTCTTAAAATGTTGTATTACTATTTTTGGTTCATTTTAAATAAAACTAATAATGTAATATCAATGTACCAAGAGGTCTTAGCTTCATTTTTCTTTTATAACAACTGTATAATATAAATGCGGCGACAAATGGGAGCCGCTTGCGTTATTACTTGCGATTGACGTGCAGGCTGGGTTTGTTTTTGAATAATTCACGTTCTACTAAAGCTGGTGACTATAACTGAAGTCGCTATTTGAAACGAATTTTGTACCATTTTTTCTTTTCATATTGATTACTAACTATGACCAATGTTAATATCATTGCTCTTTATACAAAGATTTGCCTGTGCCATTGATTTCGGACTCAATTGATTTTATATTTCGTAATTTTAAAGATGTTAATATGAAAATGGTGTTATTGAGATGAAATTTTCAACTGTGGTGGTAATTAATTTAATTAAATGGGATGCTCGGATAATTAACTGGCGTGTCTTTAGCGTGAATACCGGCAATTTGAATTGAATGTATATTTACTCGTAGTTTCGTTCGTTCGTTTCACATGTAAATTGTAAGTGCTTGAAATCTACTGGAATATTCCCTTAGAAATGCAACTTTACTAATCTTATCCCGCTATAAATTTTAAGTTCGAGTTATGAGCCACGTTTACGGCCACGTCATATTGGAGTCTAGGTAAGCTTGGCAACTCCTATTTACATAGTAATGTTTTCATTTTGGATCAAAAGTTCTTAAGCATCCCTTAATAGAGGAACTAGACGACCCAAACTTTAGTTATGAGGTAAAATGTAAAATTGCTTTAACCTGCATGTTATCCCACGGTAACTAGGTCTTCCTATTTGTCAATAAAGTTCTAACTTGTTCTATTATGGACGACAAAGGTTTCCTGAAATTGTTAGACCGTTTGATCTTGGCTTTGAAATTTTACGCTTTTAGTACATTAAATCGTGACTAGAAAATTGCTATAAAAATGTATTTAACTATGAAAAACTCGATGGTAAAAAAAAAAACAGAAAAACGTTGAATTATGGTATTTTAAAAACTAAATATTCCATAATTATTGATAAACGACTCGACAATGTTTCTTTAGGTGCTATATTTTACTAAAGAATTTAATACGCCTGAAGCAACTCTTGCCAAATGTAAGTCGTCATTTCTTCAGTTGTGTTTTTAATGATCACCTTGTCATTTGAAATATGTGAAAAGCTTTGAGTAACTGAACGCTCGCGATATTTTCAATTTTAACCCTTGTCTGTAACATCTGGGACACGGCTTAAGGTTATCATATTTTTTGTAAAAACGAGACTCCGCCCCAATATTATTTCAACCGACAATGTTTCCACAATTGATTCTTTTTCTTTGGAATAAGATTGAACACGTTTTTGACATATTATAATATAAGAAATGTTATATCGTAAGGGTATTGAATGTTTAATATTGCAAAATATAAGTTGAAGAAATTGAGCTAAAGAATTCTTTAGAAACGAAATTACCATATGTTATAAATTAATACAGTGCAGTACTTAATAGCGCCACATGTGCCTTTCGTATGGGATTTTATTGATACGTTATTGATTAAAAAAATAGAGATGGTCATTAAACAAATTACGTAGATTTCGACAATCTATAGGACAAAAGAGCCCATTAAGGCTTTGGAAAACCGCTTGCCCACGTCAAGAGGGAATTCCAAGCCAAGCAGTGGATATAGGCTTGGTATTTGTTTGAGCAATATAATTGGTGAAATAGGCAATACATTAACCCTTAATCGGACAGAGTACGATTTATCAACCACCTCGGTAATAGGATTTTTATTATAAATCTTTTTAATTCACAAACACTTAAGTGTCATATCTTTCGTATGAATCTAAACAGTTTAAACTAAATAATTCATTTTGGGAATAATTATGATCCAAAGTGGTCATTATATATGCCTTATACCTGTCTGCTGGTGGTATGATATCAACATTACCATTATACTTGTATTATAATATAAAATAAAATTATAAATTCGTTTCATATCATAAAAATGAAATTCGTACGTACCTTCCTATTTTTCAATAAAAATAGATTCTAGTAGCGTAAAAGAAAAGAATTAAAATATGTATAAAATATGACTGTTACTATTTTTACCAAACAGTTCGGACCACATTTCAATCATCCATTTCAAAAATGTATCATGTGTTATATTTTCACCCGATATTCATATATCCATTTGAGACAAAACGTTAATAAATATAATTAAAAATAGGGATAATCGAAACAAAGTATACAACGAGAGAGCACCCGAACAAGCATAGTGCATACATAATACGACAACTTTGTTTAAATCTTTTCACATCGTACATTTAATAAGAACAACATATGTATGTATTTAAAAATTGTTTCAATGGCAGTACACATGTGGATTCATTAAGGGTAAAGAAACTAAATAACCAGAAAATTTTACAAACTCAGTCCTGGAAAATGTTACTTTAAAGGCTGTCTGTGTAATAGAATTTCACAAAAAAATGTATTGACCTCTACTCTAAATGATGAATGATGTAAAATTTACGGTGGTTGACTTTTGGAAGATCAGTCGGACATATCACCACTACGCATTTGATACCATGTTCATTTGCGACCATACATATTTAGTATCGCATTTGTTAGTTATTAATCCATTAACATTTTGTATAAACCTGTGGTTTTATCCGGATGTATGTTGAAGGATTTTCGCTAAAGCTTTATTTACACATCGCTTGTTTCGGTTTTAATAACTGTAGAGTTTAAATAAGTCGAGAATAGTAGTTACAGGATGTGTGGAATGTTGCTTTTAACATTAATCAACATTTATTAAAATAATTTTAGCTTCTGTTTTACTAAAATCATTAATGGAAAAACTCCTATGCCTGCGTAATATCGTTCTCTTTGTATAATTTTCATCTATTTGATCTAGATATACTATCAGCCCATAATGACTATTATCCACGCTTTATTTTAAGTAGGGATTACGCCATTATAAATGTAGTAGATGGCAATTGCAGTTTAATTTTGAAATGCTTGCAAGCGATAGAGAAAAATAGTGCAAACCCAGTTAGTTTTAATTACCCAGTGTCGCTGGCTGAAGTATAATAAAATCATTTTATTGCACGTTTATCGTTGACTTTATGCCCCGGTTTGTTAGAAACTTAGTTTTGTTCGACAACTAATAGGTACTAAGATATTTTGTGAATTGTATTAATTACTCGTTTCTTTATAGATACTTAGCAGCATACAAAATACATTTAAAGGTTATAAATGTAGACAGAGCTAAGATTAGGTTCAGATGAAAAGCAAAATGTTTCAGTTGTCAATTAAAACCTATTCATTTTTTCTTGAAGATCACTAAAATGTAAGTGGAAGGTTATATTAAATCGGCAATTTTTTTCAATACCTTGCTATGGGCATAAGAATGAAGAAGGCGATACTTTCATCCTTATACGATGAAGATCTACAATTACTTCTGATGGTAAAAAAGTGGAGGTATATCTTGTACTTCATGTATCTCTCCCAAAATATTAAAATACTGTCAAGATGCTGACTCTTTTACTTTTGTGATATTTTGGCTTGGTTTTAACCATATCGTAGCCACATGAGCCTTTTGCGATTTCTCATAGAGAATAGATAAAGTATTATGTATTAATTAATATTATTTTAATTTTTAAATAGTCTCATTTATATAGCAAGACCAATAAGTCAGTGGTGGCTCAGTGGTTAAAGGGCCCGCCTCTCGTTGCCGAGGGCGCGGGTTCGATCCTGGCCCGGGCAAGTACCAATGTGATTTTTCCGAATCATATGTACTTTCTAAGAGTATTTAGACATCACTGATTAATGTTGATTCCCAAAAGTGGGTTGATGTTGTGTCGGTCGTAAAAATAAATAGCCAAAAACTATTCACAACATGTAAGGCAGACCCTGGCTATAGCTGGGAAATTGCCAGGTAGAAGAAGATATAGCAAGACCAATAAGGATCAATTAAGAGCCAAGTATTTGTGTAAGTTAGTGGGGAAGCGACTGG